TCATTTGTTTGGTGATTAACAGCGCAGAAGTTTAGCTTGAGTTTTAACTTTTTTGTTGTTCTTCCCACTTCTTTTAAACTATTATCCGTCAATAAAAGACTTGCACACAATGCAATACGGCAGAACACATTATTTCTCCTCTGTAAAACGTTCTGGTCTGTTTGCAAACGTAAAGCGCGCTTTCTAATCAGCTAATTACGAATGCTAATGCGAGCGCGTGACGAGTCGAGTACATTTCAGAGGGGGTTTTATGGAGATCAGTCTGAACTTTCTCGATCGGCCGTAAGAGCTTAGCCGTTTAATTACTCAAACTCTCAATCGTCAAAGCTGGTAATTAATTAACCGCTGCATCTTCATAAACACCTTTTGTCGTCAAGAATTAAGAGGCTAACAGCTGATTGATGCCGGAGTAATCTCACACCAAACATATTGCGCATGACAACGTCATAATACCATGTGTGTGCGAAGACAACAAACAAACCAATTTACAAAAATGAAAAATGTGCACAAGTGTTTTTATTTTGAAGGATAAACGGCTACTGTTGAGGACAAATGAGCTAAGCCAGAACACATGCAAATATATATTTTTTATATTTTTATTTTATAAATGCATTCTGCATTAGAGTAATGCAATTGTCATGCAAAAATGGGATCCTAAAAATAGGCAAAGTGCAATTTACAAAATAAATAAATAAACAAACAAACAAACAAACTTTTAAACAAATACTAGCATGATAAATAGGCTACTTACTGCAGTTTGGGGAATATATTTTTACATTTTATGTGATATACATTTTTTTTGTTTGCACTACAGTAAAAAAATTGGAAATGTGCTTAACTGACATGCAATAACGGTTAATTGGTCCTAAAAACAGGGTTCATATTCATCACAAAACAATGTGCAATTAAAAGAAAAAAAAGGAAAATGTGTGCTAATTTAGCGAATACTTTAAAAAAAGACAGATGCAATTATATTTTTTGATTTTTTTTGTGTGTGTGACTCTCACTAATTAATTATTACCTATTTTATATATATATATATATATATATATATATTGTATAAGTTCTGGAAAAAACCTGATTTGGGATTTTGATCAGTATGTTAAATGCCCGACCAGACAGAACAAGATTTTGGATCGGTGTTATGGGTCTGTTAGAGGGGCATACAAAGCTCTCCCCCTTTCCCCGCTGGGCGGGGCTGACCATAACTGTGTTCAACTCATCCCAAAGTATCGTACTGCCCTGAGGAGGACTAGACCAATTATTAAACGTGTGAAAGACTGGAATGATGAGTCCATTTTGTGCCTACAGGGGTGTTATAACTGTACAGACTGGGAAATGTTCAAGGAGTCCTGCACCAATATTGATGAACTTACTGACGTTGTCAGTGGTCATGTCTCTTATTGTGTTGACAGTGTTATTTCTGAAAAATCTGTGAAGGTGTTTCCGAATAGTAAGCCATGGGTGACTAAATCACTTACGGTTTTGTTAATAAAAAATAAGAGACGTGCGTTTCAGGAGGGTAACCTTCTGGAATTCCATAGGTTAAGAAAATAAGTTAAAATTGAAATAATGAAAGCTAAGCAGTGTTATACTGGGAAGATTGAGATGCAGCTATCAGATAATTTAGGTTCTGCCTGGGATGGCATGAAAACTATCGCAGGCATAAAGAACAATAGAAATCTGAAGGTGACACTTAAAGGACATACTTGTGATAGTCAGCTTGCACAAGAGTTGAATGAGTTTTATTTGAGGTTTGAAACTCGCAAGTGCAGAAATTAAATTTTAGAGAGAAAAATGTTTTTGTTCTGCTCCTTTTGATGTGGTTAATATGTTCAAACACTCTAAAGCTAGGAAAAGCCCTGGTCCTGATAATATCATGTACTTATTTCTTGTGCAGAGCAGCTGGGCTCTATTTTTTATTATATTTTCCAGTTATCACTCAATCTTCAGAGAGTGCCAAAAATTTGGAAGCAGTCTACAGTTATTCCAGTTCCTAAACATAATCACCCACAAGAGTTAAATGATTTCAAGCCTTTTGCTTAGACTTCTTTAATTATGAAGTGTTTTGAAAGATTAATGAAAAAAGAACTCATCACAAAAACAGGGAATCTTCTAGACCCTTTACAGTTTGCATATAGGGCCGGTAGAGGGGTAGAGGATGCCACTGTAACTTTGCTAAATTTGATTTTTAAACACTTAGAAGTAAAACACATGCCAGAATTTTATTCGTGGACTTTTCATCTGCGTTTAATACCATTCAACCCCACATTTTAGTTGACAAGCTTTTAAAGGGGTCATATGATGCGATTTCAAGTTTTCCTTTCTCTTTGGAGTGTTACAAGCTGATTGTGCATAGATAAGATCCCTGAAGTTGCAAAGACTAAAGTCTCAAAACCAAAGAGATATTCTTTATCACACACACTGGCCCAGCTAACCAATCACAGCACACACTGGCCCAGCTAACCAATCACAGCACATTTCGTATTTCAGAAGGCGGGCCTTCATTTGATACAGGAACTATTCGAGCCGTTCATGCCAGACTGGGGAGAGAGGTGTTGTAATAATGTAAAATATGTGAAAAATAATGTGTTTTTCAAACAACCTAGTATGAGTGCCTGTTCTATTACACCCCCAAAACAAAATCAAGATTTTGTAAAAGAGCATAATAGGACCCCTTTAACTTTTGGTCTTGATCTTAATAGAGTTTTGGAAAGGATTTTAAAGGATTTTGGAATTTTTTAATAGATAGAACACAGCGAGCAAGTGTGAATGGGCATTTGTCTGAAAACATGTCATCATTGGTGGGGTCTCCTCAGGGATGTGTCCTTTCTCCCCTTCTTTACATTCTTTATACTGATGATTGTCGTAGTCAACATGATAACAGGTTTATTTTAAAATACGCCGATGATTCTGTTATAGTTAGTCTTCTTCATTCTGATGAAAATGGTCACGGTCCTGTAGTAAATGATTTTGTTCATTGGTGTGATAGAGCATTCTTGCAACTAAGGGTGCTTTCACACCTGGCCCGTTGTTTCGGAACCTGGCGCGTTTCCCCCCTTAGCTCGGTTCGTTTGGGCATATGTGAACACGGCAATCGCGCTCGGATCCGCACCAAAA